AGTCCTCCAAGCGCATCAAAAAAGTAATGTGACTTTGCACTATGGGACGGCAAATCCTGACTAACCAGCGGACCAGTCTTGTTCCACAGCATCTGAAATGTTGTTATATGGTCATTCGGAAATGCCCAAGCAAAGTCTGTCATCAGAGTATTTCTGTATAATTGCCTCCCAAACAAGTCAGCAAAATATATAACACTGTTGTAGTGGTTTTTGGATATTTTAATAAAAAAATCTTACATATTGTGCCTTTAAGCATTGCAAATCACTAATAGCCAAATTAAGCATTTGGAAGGAGACAGACTGCTGACAGTCAGTCTGCAGTAACTGTTATTAAAGTATACTCTTGATTTGTATTCATAACTTGTTAATTTATTACATCAATTTGCATTTTCTGTCAATTCAGTGGTTGTAGGGAATCACTGTAATTAGTCCTGAAAATTGAAACCAAACAGTTTGTCTTATTTCCACAGGTGATATGACATGAGATGTGACCTTTTGTGTCCTTTTACTATCGTCTCTCTATATGTGATCATCTTCCACAATATCACTGTATTGTTTTAGTATGTCGTCTCCTGGTTTTTTCACAGACTGTTCTCTGTGCTTTTTCTTGCAGGCTTTATCCGCAGCAGACTTGAATCTGGTGCTGTATGTGTGCGAGACCATTGACTCCCAGCAAGTGTTTGGCCAGCAGCCCTGTCCACTGCATCAGGCCGTCCTTCTGTCTCTCATCCAGCAGCTCTCCACCAACCTGAACACACGCACAGAACTCAAGATCAGGTTTGTTCCCTTCAAATTTGTCAGTCACTGCAGTCATATTCTACCCCCCCATGTGTCCTTTATATGGAAATTATTCTTTCAGCACCACTCTGTTTAAATGAGTATGCAAGAGCATGCACAGCACTGTGCTATTAATGATTAAACACTTAAGTATTTATTTATAGCCCTCTGTATGTTGTACGTGATCAAGGGCAAAATGCAGTTTCATATCACAGGATATTAATGCTTTAAGACTCAAGACATCGTCCCTTTCTCCTCTTTAATTCCTCTGTGGATGACCTTGTGTTGAAGGGGACATCCGCTTCTGTGGCAGTGCTGCATTGGGCTGCAGTTATTAAAGTGCTCTACAGTCTGGGCTGCATTAGAGTTCTCTGCTGTGGGAAAGGGACTGTGTGTGAATCGCAGAGTAATGCTCTGTCTGTGTGCTGCCAAGTCCCTTTACTGCAATAAACTGCTCAGCCTGCCAGTCCTATCTCTGAATTGCACTCTAAAATACTAGTGTTTCATACTGCCCATATGTGCATAGACATAACCATCTGTAAGTCTGTCCTCTTTCTGCACGGACATAAGGATGTTATTTTAAGTAGGAAGTCACATGCTTTAGGTTTGATCAGTTTTTAGCACCGGAATTAATATTCACAGGAGTCTGTGCTTTTTTTTTTTTCCATGACAAAGAACATTAGACACCTTCATATTCAAAATTATTAATAAGAGTTTGATTTTCATATACATTTACTTTTAATAATAAAACTGTAAATGTATTTTACAGTTTTTGCTGCTTAATATTTTTGTGGAAACTGTGATACACTGCCATTAAAAAGTAGAAAAAAAGCTTTGCAATCACAGGAATAAAGTAGATTTTCTTTTTAAGTGAAGGTATTGCTTGGGAATATTAATTAACATTGTGGTGTTTGCCCAATAGGCAAACTTATTGACTAAAAGAAGCATGTTGTATGTGCTAGTGCAGGCCTGATTCATGAATATTCATTAACTTGATTGGACGCTCCCATTAGATTACCAAAGAATGCTGTTATGACCCAATTAATATTCACACACTACACCTTAATCCTGCTTTGGGCGTACAGTACATAAGACACATTTTTGCATTCAGTAACAGCTAGGCGAGTGCAACGAAGTGGAACGAGCAGGAGTCTCTGGGCACTTTTTTTTTGTTTGTTTGTTTACCTGAACACTGTGTGATGTGGCACTCATGGCACGTGATGCTGAAAAGCAAGTCTGGCATCAGTGCAACAGCTGCTTCACATTATGTAACACTTGGTTAAAAAAAAAAAAAACAAGAAAACTCTGTAAACAGTAAAACTAATATTAAAACGGATAGCTAAGGCTTTGAAATCTTTTTGGATTGGTGTTCCTGGCCTGGGTATTTTTTGTGCTACAAACAGTACAGCAAAATCTAAACCAGTTGACATTTTTTCCAGCATAACAAGGTGTATTCTATCATACCACCCATCCCTATGTGTCATGCTGCAGAGTTAAACTAGGGGTGCTCCGATTGATCGGCTACCGATCATTATCGGCCGATAATCACGTTGGGATGATCGATCGGCGGTCTCTAAAAAGGCCGATCTCAAGCTGATGACGCTGCCGTGAGAGGTTTGGCACGACATGCAGCGGCACTGTCTCAGTCTCTGTCCGGCGCGGGTGAAATAATTATAATGCTGAAGGTGAGGTACTCACCTTCATATTTCTAAATTAAATAACTTCACAATAATTTCACAAACAGCGTGAGTGATTCACCGCACGCGCTCTCTCTTTCTCTCTCAAAATACGCAAATGGCTTCAAATCACCACACTGTGTCTGTTGAGGCAGTGTCACATCGTCACTAAAGGTTATACAAGTAAAGTAAAGTTTTTGCATTACTTTTTAATTCTTGCCAGTGCTTAACCATTCAGCACTCACACGCTCTCCTGTAGACCGTGCGCTCATGCACACTTGCAGCGCACACACATAATGCCAGGTTCACATTACTCTGTTTGCAGTGCGTGGTATGTGGTGCGTATTTTTTCAGTTGCTTTCAGTGATCGGCGATCGGTGATCGGCCTCAAAAATCCTGATCGGAGCACCCCTAAGTTAAACATCACCTTTTATCTTCGCAAATAAAGGTTAGCAGAATATAAGATGTGAACAGTGATTTCTATGTACCAAGAATGTAATATCTCCCCAGGCCAGTAGATTATAGTTGAGATAACAGCACTGTGGGCTTAAATGTATTGGAACAGGGCCTACACATGTGAAAATAGAGCAAATTGCTATGAGGCATGAAAGCTTAGCCATCTGGACCGGACTGTACCGCAAAGTCCTGGGGATATTAAGGTCATTGTATTACTTTTTTTTTTTTTTTTTTCTCACCCTTAATCGGAAGCTTTAATTTAATGATCGCTTGTAAGGTAATTAAGATGACCTCTGTGCAACATGCAGCTCAAGTCTCTGGTGGTATGATATACCAGTCTATTAATTTTAAAAGATTTCCCAGATAGTTTATCAGAAAGTTGGCATTTCAATAATCCTTGATGGACTTTAAAAAACCCAAGCAGCCTGGAGAGAAGACCAAAAAAAGCTGTAGCCCAGAATAGCTTAAAGAAATAACAAGCATGTTCTGTTAGCACAGCTGTCAAAAAAACAGCAGATTTCTGTTTGAGGACTGGAATGAATGACTTGTGCTGGCCGCATACACTACCATTATCTTTTAGTTTTTCAATAATCAAAGATTTAAAAGACATTTACAAAGTTACGAAAGATTTCTATTATAAATAGATGCCCTTTTTTTTTTTTTTTTTTACTTTTATCAAAACATCCTGAATAAATTGATCACAGATTCCCTTAATATATTAATCAGCACAGCTATTTTCAACATAAATTAGCACATTGTCTTTTAAAATTAGCATATTAGAACGATTTCAGAAGGATCATGTGACACTGAAGTAATGGCTGCTGAAAATTCAACTTTGAAAGGCTCAGACCTCTTGCACTTTTTGAATTTAATATTAATACATTGTTAGAGGTCTGGCCCAGTGCAAAGTGCTTCTAATATTAATGAGAATTGGCTTCAAAGCAAACTGGTGATCATAACAGGAGAGATTAAAGGAATTTAGCCTTCCTGCAAAACCACTTTGATAAAATAAATGATGTAAATGGTGCCTCCAGTTGAATCAAAGTCTGACGTGAGAGAAAACATTTGCTCCTTCATAACACAGATGATTTCATAATGTTAGCATGTATTTTACAGTCTTAAGCCAAGAAACTCTAAATGCCTGGAGAAAGCAATTTTTTGGGTTCCCATTCAAAGGCACTTGTACGCAATTTGAAATCTGCCAGTTTTGCTCATGGAAGCTTATCCACAAACCTTTCACTAGTGACATAAAAAGCTGTAGAAAGGGAAAAGTTTAAATTTCATGCTTTTAAGATCCATGGAAAAATATCTGCAATAATATGAAATGTTTTTCATTTATGAAAAATCTGTTTCATCAGAATATGCAGAGACTTTTGAATGTCCATCAATGTAGAAAGATCCCCCCCACCACCAAACATGACCACTTTCTCCTTTCTCTCATTCTTGTGTAGCTATCTTGAAGATGCTGTAATGAACCTGGACCATGGAGATCCAGTCACCAGAGACCACATGTCTGCAGTGCTGTCCCAGGTACGACAGAAGCTCTTACACTTCCTGCAGCAGGACGCCCACAGCCCTCTGAGCAAGCGCGCACGGCGCCTCATGATGATGCTGCAGGGCCTGGTCAATCACTAGAGCCCCTCTGGATGGTGCAGCTGACATCTTCACAACCCCTCAGTCATCGTTCTGCAGTCTCGTAGACGACCGTCATGACCTCATACCACCCTGCTGTTCATTTGCCTTATCTGTGCTCTGCAGCTTATTGGCTCTCTCAGAAGCACTATTGAGAGTTGTAGTCCAGGCTTGGACTTGGGATATATTGGCGGTTTTGGACTACATCTCCCCCCATCTTTCCCTCCCTCGTTCCTTTCAGACTATTGTTGATATCATTTTTCTGCACGTGAAAAATCCTTAGTTTATATGCAGCACCATCATGAATGCAGAACGGGGCATGGGCTACTTCAGTTATTTTCATTATGCATTCAATACCAGGAGACCACTTTTTTTTTTTCTTTTTTTTTTTTTGCTTCTTTCATTCTTGACACATCAGGAACAAGACTGTGGAGAGCGTGAGAGAATGAAAACTATAACGTGAACACTCCAAATTTTGGATGGTTTCCTGGCTGCTCTGCTTTTTTCTCCTTTTATTTCTTGCGGTGAAACGCCTTTGAACGCTGCAGACATGGAGACATCATCATCACCGCATGAATATTAGCCCTGTTGGTTTTTGATAAAGGTTGTATTTAGGCCACTTATCCTTATCTGACTCAACTGATCTGCTGAAAATAATTTGGCCAAGTTGCTGCATTTTCATGTCAAGTGAAGCATCATACATGTTCCTGGAGTTTTTGTTAATGCTGTCAGGATTTGAAAAGTTCTAACAGTTTAACTTCTGGGCAATAGCAAAAAATTTACCCACACAGTTGATACCATGTTTTTTCAATCAACGGAGCCCTGTAAAATATGTAAGAGGGCTTATTACATTACCAAGGAAAGCTAACAACATAGTTATTTAGAATTTCTTCAAAAGGAACCTTGAGTCTGTAACTTGCAGTACGTCTGTGAGTCTCCAGAGGGCAGGCATTTATGTATATTCTTTCTAATTTTATATGCTGCTTCTGATTTATTTTCAGTTCTTCTGCAGAATTACACTACAGCGAATGCAACAAGGCTCTTCTTTAAAAAAAAAATGTAAAAAATTTTTTTTTTTCTGTTAAATTGTTTCTTTCTGTATCACATCATCTAAATATTTGAAAGTGGAGGAGAAATGCCCGTTTTCTGCTCTGTTCGAGTTAGTTGATTGTATTTGATTTGCCAACACTTGTTATTCATTAGGAGGGACTATTTGGTCATGCCCTATGATAAAGAAAGAACAAAAAGAAAGTGCCTTATCAGACTGTTGCGTATCAGATATTGGTAATCGGGTCCTCTGACCCAACATTGGGTGCCACATTGGTGTGTGTGTGTGTGTGTGGCCTATATCCAAGCAAATTTTCTTTTTCAGTAAAACACAGAATTGAAGTTAGGAATGGACAGGTTTGTTACTGAAACATTTTCTTACAAGTGCTGTAAACTGATCTGAGTTTATTTTTTCAGCCATTTATTCCTCACAAGTTTCATGCTAATGTGACGAGGAAGTGCCGGCCCTGCTGATTGTGTTTGTGTTAACACATTATTTGTTCCCCTGTCGTCTTTATTTTTAGAGCTGTGCATATTATATCCATAGCCATTTGCAGCAGTCAGTGTGGCTCATTAGGACATTTTTACAGGGTGTAGGCAATATGTCCTGTTTTGCTTTTTTCTCATATGTATAAAAAATAAAGCTCTTTAACAGACATGAGCCTGCTGCTTAATTCAAGGTAAATGAGGCGCTAATAAGGATATATTAAACTCGGCATGCTTGCATGCTAATGGTGAAAGCCATGTATTCAAACATAGTTAACCTTTTTACGAATTCAACACCCCAATTTTGTTCAAGATTTGTACACCTGGATTAATCCCGTTTCATCTTCATTTCTCTTCTATAGTATGGTGTCCAGCAAAGGTGACCCGTGATTGAATAAATTGACTGATTCAGTTTTATGTTATGCCAGGTTGAAAACGTCCTCTTGTCAGTTTTAAGATTTTGTTGCAGTGCAAGGTTAATTGGTTTCCGATGCTGTTTTAGACATGTCTGATGATGTTGGGGTTACTATACTAATACACAATGCCTTCAGTTTTTGAGGCTTACAGACCTTTTTTTCCCCTGTCAAGAGATTCGCATTGCAGGTTGTGAATGACAATTTAATTGTTTGTTATTTTTTCCATTGTGTTGATTTTTGTTCCTTGTGAATGCAATTCTGTTGTATATTTTACACTCATTTCTTTCATCCTAGACGTTTTGGAATAAAAAAGGAAAACATTGTTCAATGTTCAGTTAGATTGCGTGCGTTTTCTTTTCCATATACCCGTTTTAATTGTAATAAGCTGTGACACCTCCTTACACCATTTAATATGGATCAAATTGAAGTATTTATGAAAAGACAAACATGAGCAAAATCATTTGAAATTAATCGAACACAGAGATGAAAATATAAATGCTTGAGAGAAAAAAAATCAATGTACTAAATATTTAAGATGCATAAAACTTTAAAAAATGATCATTTCATAAACTGCAGTCAAGCATTTTATTTGCGAATAAGTTCCACTTAGTAATAGTAATTTGCCTTTGTGAATTGTTTTTAAAACTCGTGAACATGGGATATCCATCAGTTATTCATACATTACATGCAGTATATTATATATATATATATATATTAGGGATGTGCGGGACTAGTCGACTAAACGGTACAGCTCCTACTAGTCGACACTGAAAACAATAGTCGATTACACGACAGAAAAAGAAAAAAAAACATGATTTTATCATTCAAATTACCGTCATTTTAACATTGCATTTATGTGTGTGTGTGTGTGTGTGTGTGTGTGTGTGTGTGCAACATACAAAACCTGTATTATAAAACCGGTTTATGTAATTATAACTGATACAAACTATGGTAATACTTTATTTTAATGTTCTCCTTTGTTACACATATTACATGTATTTATTATGGTAATAACAGTAAATTATGCATAATTACATGCAACTAACCCTAATTCGAACCCAATAATGAGTTCATGTTGTTAATTAATATTACTGCTTAAATGTAGTATAATTACTCTGACTGTAACCAGGACACCTTAAAATAAAGTGGAACCGAATATAACAACCGAACCGAATCTGCTGTAACTTAAGTGTAATTTTAGTACATTTTATTACAGAGCATTAGTCAATATACACTCAAATAACGTTAACGTAAAATATAGATTTTCAAATATGAATATCTATGTACGTAAACTACTGACGTTAGCATTATGTAATGTTTGCTGATGACTTCTTAATGAAAGTGTATGAAATGAAAAGTGAAATGAAAAGTTGTGCTAGAGACAAACCTCCGTTGAGCAGTCGTGTTCCCGCAGCCTCCTCCCCTTTACTACAAGATACGCGCGCTAGTGAATCATTCATCACTCCGCGCAATGCGAGCTGAAGCTCTGAGTTTCTATTAAATGAACACACACATCTGACTGAACTCCCTTCAGGTTCTGTGCGCTGGGATCTGTTCAGGATGACACCTCTCCTCTGCAACGCCTGCCTCATCTTGCCTGTTGCTCTACATCTGCGTAAGTTGATGCTAATACATTTACTAAATTGTTTCAACCGGTCTTTTAAATGCATAAATACGGACTTCTGATCAAATGGTTTAGAGGTTGCTCGCTCTTTCTAGCCAGCATACACATGAGTCAAACTGCATTTTTGGTTTATTTAGGCTGCGATAAATCAGCTTCAGAGATATTATGACAAACGTAGATCAGGGGAGGCTACTTTATCGGATTATGTTATTGTTCATGGGCTATTCGTGGGATGAATGAGTAAAACAACAGATAAAATAAAAAAATAAAAAAAAACATACTGGCGTATATAAGTGTGCATCTGTCCAAAGTGCTGCAGAGTTCAGATCCATCGCTCTAGATGTTGCCGGGGCACCGCTGACGTCTGACTGTTTCTTTGGAGTCAATGCAAATGTTGATGTGACTTATTTCCCTCGAGGATTTAATCTGTGTGTGGGAGAAAAAACAACAACGATAGTTACAAATCATGAATAAAAGCAGCTGTTCTGCAACTCACAGCTCTTCTCTCCGGAGAGCAAACCCCTTTTGCACGTTTACGGAACAAGATGTAATCGGTCATAACGTGCGTGAGGGAGGAAAATGTGTTTAAGCCGTGTGTAGGATTTAAAATAAGCAAGTGAATTTTATGGAATTGTGGTTATGATTATTTTTAATGATTCCGGTTCTTTAATGGTTCCATTGTCAATTCTTTGTGTAGCCTACTTTATAGGAAGAAATGTTAATAAAAAAAAAATATGAAAGAAAAGAAAAACAGATCAAACGATGACATTAAGATTTCAAAAGAACAGATTTAGCAAATTATAAATAAATGTAATTCTTGGCAAATGTGCTCTAAACCTTTTAATGACTTTTTATAGGCTGTATAAAGTTAAAAATTAGTAACTTTTTTGTTTTTTTTTACAAAATATCACTGATTAATCTAACAATGTGTGCCTAAAAAGTGGTCATATGAACAACTAGTGAGTCTCACGAGCTTTAAGTACAACAGGTTTATATCAATTCGGACGCCACGAAAGCAAGTAATAAACTGCAGTTCAGTAAGGAAGTCACATTACATCAGTAACGGCTCCGACTGATTCATAAGTGTTTTGATTAACTAAAAAATGAACCGCCTCAAAAGAGTCATTAACTCGTGCGGCAATCGAACTGCCATTGTAGCACACTTTGTGGTTTTGTTTCACTAAAAAGAACCGGCTCAAAAGAGTCATTCGCTCGAGATACGGACTACACGGACTACACTACACTTGCGCTGTATGTTTTTGATTCACCTTAAAGGGGTCATATGATGCGACTTCAAGTTTTCCTTTCTCTTTGGAGCGTTACAAGCTGATTGTGCATAGATAAGATCCCTGAAGTTGCAAAGACTAAAGTCTCAAAACCAAAGAGATATTCAAGTCAAGTCAAGTCTGCTTTATTGTCAATTCTTCCACATGTACAGCACATACACACAGAGAATTCTTTATCAAATTCTTTATCAAAGAATTCTTTATCAAAGTTAAGACTCTGCCACGCCCCCCTAAAACGGCTCTATTGACTGTTCAAATGCGGAGTTTTGTGCATCGTGTGTGTGTGTGTGTGTGTGCGCGCGCGCGTGTGTGTGTGAGAGAGTGAGAGAGAGACAGGGTCACATCACAGTGGAGTCAGCTGTCTTAACCGTGGCTTGTGAACTGCAAACATATACCAGCTTCATCACTGTGTCTGTCACGCGAATCTGTTCCCCTTTCGGGCTCTGTCTTTACATTTATTTTGAAAGCTGACGCTCGCGATTATGGTAAGGGGTGTTACATTTCCGACGAGTGCTTGCAGTGTTCGGCCAATCACAATGCACTGGGTCAGCTGGGCAATCAGAGCAGACTGCGCTTGTCGGAAGGAGGGACTTTGTAGAAAACGAAGCGTTTGAGAGAGGCGGGGCATAGAGGACCTACAATAATGTACAGTATTTGAAAAATAATGTGTTTTTTGAACATTAAAGCACGTCAACATATTCTGTTACACCAAATACACAAAATAATGATCTTTAAAAAAGCATCATATGACCCCTTTAAAGAATTTGTTCTGACGACTCTGGTGTATGTATCAAGACTGTTCAGAATCAGATAGAGCCCGTTCAGCCAACTGAATAGACACGTTATTTTTGAATGTGTGTTCCTCATAAATAATACCACTAAGCATTATGAGCATTATACTATCACATGACTTTTGTTTATACTGGCTCCACTCCACAACAAGCCACCACAATTGTTTATTTATGAGCTTTTTTGTCCCTTTATTAAAAAGGACAGTAGGTAGGTTCTGGGAGAAAGAGGGGTGTTATTGGAACTTTTCAGAATAGCACGAGAAGAAACTTGACAGATTTTTTTTTAAATATGATATATATAAAAATATTTGTGAACCTGTAGGCCTATCTGAGCTGTTTTCTTGCTTTATATTACAAACTTGTGCACTGCACCATATAGCTCCTGCTGGGCCAG